AGTACTTCGTGTCCACTGATGCCGCATCAATCTAAAACAGTATCTTAATTTTGAAATTGCACTTGCCCTGTCAAGTCTGTGCAATGTCAGTTCATTTAATAGGCTTTTTAAAAACCTGCTCCTTTGTAAACATCAGGAGATTATTTTTGGTGCACAGACTGCCAACTGCACCCTCCTGGCAAGCTGTGTGCGGTGAGGGGGTGTAGCTTTTCTTCTCTTCTTGAGGGTGCCAGTGAGCACCATGGGCATAAAATGCAGCTAGCTGTAGATTAGAACTGACTGAATCTGAAGGTTGAGGGCCCCCACAGCACATTACTGAGAAAGACTGAAGAGCAGAAAGAGGTTTTTAGGAATCTGTTTTCTGGAATGTTTTAGGGCAGATCAGCAAAACATGACCAGCAGACCAAATCCAGCCCACACCTGTTTTTGTAAATAAAGTTTTATTGGAACACAGCCATGCCCATTCATTTATGTATTGTTTGTGGCTACTGACTGATTTAATAATCAGCAGAATTGAGTAGTTACAATCGAGACCTGCATTACTTCAAATATGTATTCTCTGGTCCTTTACAGCAAATGTTTGCTGACCTCTGGTTTAGGGTATAGGTTACAATTAAAAAGCCTTCAGGGCCAAGTGGGTGTAAGGGAAAGCTGTGGGGCTTATGGCATGAACGTGGCCAGTCAGCAAACCCTACCTCAGGGGAAGGAAAGGAGCCTGAATGAGCCAGTAGCTGGGATTCTGTACATGTGCACAGTTATTTCAATACTGCCGATAAGTATAATGAATTAAATTAAGAAAAACAGTATACATTCTTGATTTACAACTTGGTGACAGTATAATAAAAGGAATTCCTTACTTCCCCCCTCAGCTGTCTGTCTAGGTTACCAAGGTCAAATCCCGTTTATTAAATGCTTGCGTGGACTTGGATGTCTGGGAGGTACTGAGTTGACCCTGTTCATTGGCAGCTTATAGCCTCCCGTCACACAGACTAGACCTACTTCACACACCCCGGCTGACATCATGGCCATGTCCTTCATTGTTCTATATTTCCATCTCCAAACTAATGGCCAGCAAATCAAGTCCTTGCCCTTGCTCCACCCCATCAGTCCCAGACCTGTATACCCTGCGCTCCACCTGCCACATGGCATTTCCCCCTTGTAGCCCTCTAGCCACCTCCCCTCACCATGAATGATAGGAATCCCATCACCTCCCCCTGAAACCTCCAGTTCCTTCTTGGTGTCACATCCTCCATCCAGCCCAAGGCAGGCACTCCTGGGATCCCCGGCTCCTCCACCTTTCTTGATCCTATCTGGGCCTGGTTCTCCAAACCCTGATCACTCTGAAGACCTCCTCCATCCATCCTCCCCTCGCACAAACTCTTTTTTTTTTTTTTTAAGATGGAATTTTGCTCTTGTTGCCCAAGCTGGAGTGTAATGGCACGATCTTGGCTCACTACGACCTCTGCCTCTCAGGTTCAAGCGATTCTCCTGCCTCAGCCTCCCGAGTAGCTGGGATTACAGGTGTGCGCCACCACACCCGGCTAACTTTGTATTTTTTTAGAGATGGGGTTTCACCACGTTGACCAGGCTGGTCTCGAACTCCTGACCTCAGGTGATCCTCCCACCTCGGCCTCCCAGCACAGGCTCTTATAATGGCTGGCTAACAGGTTCCCTGACCCTGGTCTCTACCTCCTCTGATCAAGCCACTGGTTAACTGTCTCAACCTGCATCTCATCATGTCTGTTTTCAGAGTTCACCACGGCCAAATGGAACTGGCCCTGGTTCAGACAGATGTGGGTTCAAAATTCCTGGCTCTGGCTTTAATCTGCTGTGAGGCTTTAGACAAGTCACTTGGCCTTTTCCCTGTCTGGAAACTCTCTGCATTAAGGACAAATGATAAGGTATGCAAAACACCTAGAACAGTGCCAGGCACAAACATCCACAGCATCCGCCACAGGGTCCATGACGGCCCTGGAATTGTCGTCTAGTGTTTTCACTGACAGTTCTTCCCTGCTTACAGGTTCAGGCTCCAATGTCTTAGGCAGGACACAGACTATTAGAAGGCACATTTATCTCCTTGTCCTCGCAGGTTCATGTGCAGGCAGCCCCGTGCAGCCTGGCTCCTTCTGGCCCACTCTGAGATCTGGCTGCCTGTTGATGAAGGGGGTCCCTTGGCTCTGCTCTCCCTGCCATGTGGAAAGTCCCGTGAGGCACACTCTGTGACCACAGGGGGCCAGGCTCAGTTTCCTCATGTGTGAGTCCTGCTGCCTGAGGGAGTAAAGGAGCCTAATTCCGGGTGCAGTATTAGGAGGTCTGCTGCTGGGGAACCTAAGGTATGTCCTCCAATAAGAACACGAACACTTAGGTTTTTATCAAGCTGATTCCTGTGCATATTTCACAAGATGGGAAAAGCGGTGTTGTATATGGACACATACACAACACTCCCAACCTTGCACCTCCGGCAGCCTGTATGGTCTTACCCAGCCAGGCACCTTGGGCCCTGACATACCACGTGGGACATATGGTTTGTACATGCACCAAGGACAATCACGCTCTCTCCTGGGTCTGTCCTGTCCTCAGCCTGGATGCCTTCCCACCCACATGGAACTGTGACCCTCTCTCTCTGACTTTCAAGCCCCCAGCATCCACCTGCACCTCCATGCCCACTGAAGTGCCCTTGGCACTCTAAACAATCACTGATTAAGACACTCTTATGGGGTCTAATTCTCATCTATCTCAGGAGTGTGTGTGGTGGGTGCGTGGTGGAGGAGACCTTGTTTCTTACACTCTGCAGCCTCTGGTGCCTGTAGGGTGCCTGCTGTATGACAGGAGGTTCATGTGAGCATGCTGAACTGAGCAGGGATGGGAGATGGACACAGCACTTGTCTTCCCCCATTGCTGGCTCTTCATGTTCTATTTAACCTTCGGTGGGTGGGATTTACCTCCATCTTCCTTCACACTGCTCCCTTTCTCTCTCTCTCTCAAGTCAGAGCAGTTGGTATTTACATATTATTACAAAGGGCACACAAGGTTATATCTCTAAATGCACAGCCACACAGGCCAGCAGAGAGATGCCCCAGTGGACCCAGAGATGAACATCCACATGAGCACAAGGCAGGCCCGTGTTCCCCCCACCCGAGCACAGGGCAGACCCACTTTCCCCTGACCAGAGCACAGGGCAGGCCCGTGTTCCCCACACCTGAGCGCAGGGCCGGCCCGTGTTCCCCACACCTGAGCGCAGGGCCGGCCCGTGTTCCCCCGACCTGAGCGCAGGGCAGGCCCGTGTTCCCCGCACCTGAGCGCAGGGCAGGCCCGTGTTCCCCCCACCTGAGCGCAGGGCAGGCCCGTGTTCCCCCCACCTGAGCGCAGGGCAGGCCCGTGTTCCCCCCACCTGAGCGCAGGGCAGGCCCGTGTTCCCGGCACCTGAGAGCAGGGCAGGCCCGTGTTCCCGCACCTGACGCAGTGCAGGCCCGTGCCGCAGCTGGCGCAGGCAGCCCGTGTCCCCGCACCGGACGCGCAGGGCAGGGCCGTGTTCCCGCACGCTTGAGCGCAGGCAGGCCCGTCCCCGCACCTGAGCGCAGGGCAGGCCCGTGTTCCCCGCACCTGAGCGCAGGGCAGGCCCGTGTTCCCCGCACCTGAGCGCAGGGCAGGCCCGTGTTCCCCCACCTGAACGCAGGGCAGGCCTGCGCCCCCTCCACCTGAGCACAGGGCCCTGGGTTCCCTCCACCTGAGCACAGGGCAGGTCTGCATTCCCTCTGCTCTGCAGGAAGCTGAGTTCTGCAGAAGGGACTTCACTAAGGTCCCTCTTAAAGGAGATGGGCAAAGAGCCTGGCTCATGATTCCTGGTCTCAGGCTAACCCTGGACACTGATTTTCCATCTGGGGCCACAGAGGTCTGGAATAGGGGACTTAGGATGTGGGGTGGGAATGCATTTGACACTCACTCCATAATGTTGACTCTGGCTCCTTCCCAATCTCTTTGGCCCAGGACCAGACAAGAATTGGCTCCTCCACCTCATCACCTCATTTTCTCTGTCTCTCTCTTTTTTTTTTGGATACAGAGTCTCACTCTGTCACCAACACTGGAGTGTAGTGGCACGATCACAGCTCACTGCAGCCTCCAACTCCTGAGCTCAAGCAATCTTCCCACCTCAGGCTCCCAAGAAGCTGGGACTACAGGTGTGCACTACCACACCTGGCTAATATTTTGTAGAAATGGAATCTTGCTATGTTTACAAGGCTGGTCTTAAACTCCTGGCCTCATGTGATCCTCCTGCCTCAGCCTCCCAAAGTGCTGGGGTTACAGACATGAGTGACCATGCCTGGCTTATCTCTCTACTCTTAAGGTTGAACAGTTAAGCTGGGTTAAATGTCCTCTCTTAAAGTCTGACCACACAATGAAATCAGGAGGAGGTAGGCCCTTACTGGGCTATTATTCTCAACCTTGGCTGTACGTTGGAATCACCTGGCAGCTTTTAAAAATCCTGACACCTCGATATTCTGATTATATGGTTTAGATGTAGCCTGGCCTTCAGGATTTATAAAAGCTCCTTAGGTCATTCTAATATATAGCCAAGGTTGAGAACCATTGACCTAAGGACATTCTCCATGTCATGATTTGCCAGAGTTCTGTATTAGGGGTTTTCAGGTTCTTCCTCAGCGATTGATGCAAAATATCCTATTTTGCTGTTGTCTGGGTTTGTTAGTTTCCCTTATCAAAAGCTCCAGAGAGAAGAGGGATGAGTGGTAAGTTTAGGCATCCAAATCTGATGCCAAACAGTTACCCTTGGTGTTCTGTAAAAATCTCTAAATGAATACTTAGGTATCAGGAGAAATCAATGTCCTGAAAGTTCCAGAACTATGCACAGCACTACATCCTTGCAGCAGTACAGTGAAATCATGATGTCATCCTTTAGACAGTCTGTGACCAACTGATGCACAGCAGGCGCCTAATTTTGAAGGGTCGGGAAATGCCAGGAGTCTTATCCAGGTGGTACTTACTTCTGGGGATCTTGCTGGGGTAAATCTTCTGGCATGGTTTATATTCATCCGGAGGGGGAAAGTCTTCCACAGAATGGAACGTGAATTTAGACTCAAAGTCATCTGCACACATGTGAAATGGAAAGAGTTACTCAGGTTACTGTCACGACCCAAGCTTTGATCATTTCCAGGAGCACAGAGATTACTCTGACTGCATCCACCATTTTCTGTTTGCCTGCTCAGTGCAAGGATTTTAACGATAGGGCCATTCTCCCTAAGACATCTATTCACCTCTCAAGTTTTACTGGTTGGTTGGGATGGAGGGAAGCAGGAAGAGGGAAATCCAGTCACTCCCTGTCACCCACCCGAACATACTCCAACCAATAACACCTTAAGGAGGCTGCTAAAGGGGTGGAAGTGGCACGGAGCTCTCCAGGGTCCAGAATCAGAGGTGGGGACCCTGGTGCCAACAAGGAACTGGCAAAGCCCCAGCAGTCACCTGAGAAGCTCCTGGGAGGGTTTCGAGGGGAGGGAGAAATGGGCAGAATGACTGGGGAATGGAGGAGCATGGCCTGTGTCTAGGGTGGGACCTGAGCTCCACAAAGCAAACAGCTTCTGCTCTGAGATCTGTTGGCAGGAGGGGAGGGCTCCTGTGACCCTTTCATGGGCTGAGCCCCTGCTTTGTGATCTGGGCCTCTGTCGGACACTAGCCCAGCACACAGAAGGGATCCAAAGATTCCATGGCCGTGATCACATCTGACCCCAGGTGACTTTCCTTCCTACCTCCATACTTGTACTCGAAATGTCCCTCTGCCTGGTGGGCCTTCTATGTATTCTTTCTCTTTATCCATATCATTCTACTCTTTCAGGCTTATGCACTGATTTCTCCATAGACACACAGACATACACACACACACACACACACAGTTTAAATGTTGCTTCTCTTCCCTTTCTCTAATCTGAATTAGAAGGCTAGAGAGTGAGCCTTGAAACTATGCAGAAAGCCTTGAAAGGAACCCTATTTAACAAAACCTGTGGGCTGGCTGGTGCTGGAGGGAGCCCGTGTTCATGAAAGAAGCACGTACCCTGAGATGGCAGCACTGTGGCCAGCAAACTCTCTCTCCAGAGGTTGGGAGAATCACATTCCTACTGGCAGCCAAACCAGCAGAGGGTGCACCCCACTTACCGATGATGTGCAGGCTTCCATTTCGCAGCTGACCTCCAGGCTGCTGCGTCGGGGTCCAGGCTGTGACCTGCTGGCTCTTGCTTGAAAGCTCTGTGGTGGGTGATCTCGCAGGGGGTGCTGGAGGTGGATTTAGCTTTCCCCCACCGGCCCCTTACAGAGAAGATGATGGTGTATTCAGACACACGGATGGGAACGGTGGATGCTATAACTTTATGTGAGATGTTAGGCATTTCCATCTTCAGATGTAATGTGATGTAGTGAGTAAAAGGACAACCTCTGAAGCCAACCTGTTTGGCACCGAATTGCAGTTCTCCCATTGGGATAAGTAACATAGCCTCTTTGTGTTTTAGTTTCCTCATCTGTAAGATGGGAGTAGTAATAGTACACCCACTTCCCAGGGTTATTGAGAAGATTCAATGAGTCGAATTTAAGTTGAGTGGCATGTAGTAAGTCGTCAATAAATGTTAGCTGCTGCAATAATATTAATGATGGTGATAACCTTCATCATCGGGTACAGCCCAAAGCAGGGAAATCACTGGAGAGTGGTAAGAACAGGAAGGGCTCACTGTAGAAGAGGCCCAGAGGGAGGCTTGAAGAGGGAGTGGTCAGGGGCTTGTTTTGCCCCTGGGTCCCTGCTCGCACTGATTCTCCAGCACTGCAAATGCTCGTTTCTCCTTCCGGTCCACCTAAATCTTACGTGCCCACCAGGGCCTAACTTGAATCCAACCTACTTCCTCCAGCCTTCTCTGATCATGCCTGAGAAAGGCTCACTATCTCCTTTGCCAATACTTTCCTGTATGGTTCATCTGGCAACAAAAAAATCTGCTATCCTGGCACATCAATGCAGGGGGTCCACTTCTGCTTATTTCTTCAGTGGCACTGCACACATCACTTTGCTTCTTGAAATGATGACAATAACATTATTACTATCTGTGCTAAGATGTTCACAATTACTACCTCTCTCTTTTCCTCCCAAGTTGGGCTAAAGTAGAAATTGCCCTTATTTTGAACATGGACCAACCAAGTTTCACATCCAAAGAGCAAAGAAGAAGGCCAGATATGTATCTCCATCCTGGCCTGGGGCTCACTACTCTGGAGCAGATGAAGGGGCCCCAGCTGCAGCAGGCATTCTCAGTCACCAGCCGCCATCCTCGCGTCTCATGTCCCTTCATCTGCCCGTCTTCCTTTCTCCCTCCCAACTGCCTTCCTTTCCCTTTCTGGTCTTCCCTTTCTGGGCACAAGGATCTATGAGGAATTTACTTGCTCCCACATGCAGGATAAAAGGACTGCAGCCCCTCTTCTGGGTGAACAGCTGCCCCACTGTGTGGTAAGGAAATAATGCTGCTGGAGCTGAAGTTACATGCAAGCCCTTTATGCAAATATCTCATTTCATATTCTTAATAATCCTATGTGAAAGGTGTTATTAGTAGGCTCATTTGTCAAATAAAAAAAATTCAGTATTAAAAAAAACAAACCCAAGTGGTGTGAGTTTCCACAGGAGTGGGTGGGGAACCCAGGATTTGAATTCATAGCCCTCTGAATCAGAAGCCTTGTTTTTGTTGGCCAGGCGCGGTGGCTCACACGTAATCCCAGCACCTTGGGAGGCCGAGGTGGGCTGATTGCTTGAAGTCAGGGGTTCAAGACCAGCCTGGCCAACATGGTGAAACCCTGTCTGTACTAAAAATACAAAAACTAGCCAGGCGTGGTGGTGCACGCCTGTAACCCCAGCTGCTCAGAAGGTTGAGGCATGAGAATCACTTGAACCCGGGAGGTGAAGGTTGCAGTGAGCTGAGATCCTGCCACTGCACTCCAGCCTGGGTGGCAGAGTGAAACTGTGTCTCAAAAAAAAAAAAAAAAAAAAAAAAGTTTTTTTTTTTTTTCATCACATCATAAACATTTGAAAATAACAAATATCAAAAGGGGCTTACGAGTACAAATGCTGGCCCTCATGGTGACCAGTCAATTGAAAAGAGAATGACTAAAATCTTACCTCTTGTAATCAAGAGCCTTAAAAATATCCTTGCTCTTTGCACCAGGAATTCCCTTTAAGAAACCAATACTTTTAGAAAAATATCAAAAATGTGGACTAAAATTTCTACAAAAGTATTTCTTGCAATATTATGCATAATAACAAAAAATGGAATCAACTTAGATATCTAACATGAGGAATATGGAATATACTGAAGGTCATTCTTCTAAAGACATTTTAACAATTTGATAAAATTGTTTTTAATATAATATTAAATTAAAAACAGAGCACAAAACTGTATGTGAAAGATGGTACTAACCATGTAAACATGTACATATATTCAGAAAAAAAGAATTAAAGAAACCTATCCAAATGGCAGTTTTCATCTCTGGGTGATGTTATTATGGGTGATTTAATTACTTAATTTACTTAGAGACAGCAGCATCTGGCTCTGTGATCCAAGTTGGAGTACAATGGCACAGTCAAAGCTCACCACAGCCTTGAACACCTAGATTCAAACCATCCTCCTGCCTTAGCCTCCCAAGTAGCTGGTACTATAGGTGTCTGCCACCATGCCCACCCAATTTTTTATTTTTATTTTCTGTAGAGATGGGGTTTCGCTATGTTACCCAGGCTGGCCTATAACTCCTGACCTCAAGCCATCTTCATGCATGGGCCTCCCAAAGCAGTGGGATTACGGGTGTGAGCCATCCGTACCTGGTCAATTTCAATTTCCTTCTATTTGCTCTGCAACAAGCTTGAATTATTTTTAATTCAAGAAAATACTTTTAAGAAGCTTTCTGCATCGAAAGATTTTCTAAAAGACACAGGAATATGTATGTTGTGGTGTGCATGTGGATGTGTGTGTTATGAGTGTGCATATGTTTGAGTGTGTCTGCGTGCGTGGATGTGGGTGTGTCTGTGGACGTGTGGAGGTACTTCCCATTCACAGGGGCGCTAAAACTGAATGAAGCCTCCTACTAGAGGGACCAAGGAAATCAGCCATGGGGCATGCACACTCAATTCAAATAATCTGTGCTGCATATGTGAAGGAAACATTTTTAATATTTGGCTCAAAATACAGGCCCTCAGTTTTCTTGAGTCAGCTGGAGAACCTGCGAAAACTAAGGCAGAGTGGGAATCCAGTTTACTGAGGGCCGGTGAAGATTCTGGAAAACGCCGGCAAATATAAAAGGAGGCCTGGTTCTGGAAACAAGCCGCACTCATGCCCTCTCCACCTCAGGGAGGAGATCTGGAGTTGGAGGATGGTAGTAAGAATAAATAATCCCTCTCAAGCTCACTGTTGCCAGGCCCCGTTCCAAGCACCTCCAACCTAAAAACTCACTTAATGCTTAATAACAAGCCCAGGAGATAGCAACTATTGCTATCTATCCCCATTTTACAGATGAAGAGAAGGGAGAACAGAGAGGCCAAGTGGTTGCCCAGGGCCACAGAGCTAGAACGGCAGGGGATCAAGGCCAGGATCCCTTGGTTACAGGCAGCATGATTTTGGGCAAATCTCCCTGCCTCCCTCACCCCTGGTGTCCATCTCTGAAATGAATACCTCCAACAATAAAGTCCTGTGCAACAACAAGATTTTATTGTGCTCCACCAGGGGCAATGGGCCAGGGAGCGCTCCTTACCTGGTCGGCCGTGCCTCTTCTTCTGCAGGAACGTCTGCGAGCCCGGAGGGGCAGGCGGGGCGGGCAAGGCCTGCGCACTGACCTTCTGCAGTGGGGCCTGGAAGCTGGGGGATTTGGGGGGTAGCGGGGGTGGGGCTTCACTGCTGTTATTAGCTCCTGGCAAAGGGGGCGCGGGCAAAGAAGCCCTCGGGGAGCACGAAGCATAAGTGGGGAGCGGGGGCGGCGGGGGTGGCGGGGCTGGAGGCTCCTGCACATCTTGCGCAGGGCTGGCGGGCTCCGCTTTGAGCCCAGGATACCCGAAAGGTGGGAGGAGAGGGAGCGGGGGCGGGATGGGCGGGAGGTGCAAGGGAGCTAGCTGAGGTTTCACTGCCTTGTCACTAAGAACCGAGGCCGGGGGCAGCGGGGATGGCGTTGGGGGAGGTGGCGGAGGTGGAGGTGGTGGCGCACAGGGGACAGGGGGTGCAACCACCGGGAGGTTCCCTTTGGTCAGTGGGCCAGGTGGGGACACAAGCGGAGTTTTGATGGGGGAGGAAGAGGGAAGGGGCGGGGGTAAGGGTGGCGGCGGAGGGGGTGCGGTGGGAGGGGGCGGGGCAGGCACGTTGGGGCGAGGCGGGGCTGTTCTGGCAGCGCCATGCGCCTCGGAGGTATTGCCTAGCCTGGGAGAGGCAGGCGGGATAAGCGGGCCGCTGATGGTTTTGTTGGGAAGCCTGGGAGAGGGCGCGCGGGAGCCAGGGCCCTGCCCTGTCTTGCCACCTGGAAGTGAAACAGATTCTGGGTTAGCTCGGCAATAAAGAAGGAGAAAGCCCCCGCAGGTAGGCGGCACTCAGGACACTCAAGCCTGCCCGCAGTGAGCTGCACTGTAGACCGCTTTTTCTGCACATGTCCACTGAGAGGCCTCAGGTACCGCAGCTGTCACACAGAAGGACCAACTGGACCAGCTCCAAGGTCCTTGCCAGCATTAATGACAAGCCCAGATCAGGCCTCCCGCCCTCCTATCCATTGCCACCTCTGCTGTCATCTGCCTTGGGCCCCTAGTATCCAAGCCGAGGGCCAGGACTGCCCGGGTGTCTTTTGCCCTTCCTAATCAAGGCCACACTCACTCTCATTCACTGACACCTGCTAGGTCCATTAGCCCTTATGCGCTAATTTGGACCCTCAGGTGTACCAACCAGCACTCCTGGCTAGGGAGGTTTTCTTCACTCCCAGCATTCTGTGAACAATGACTTTCTTCGTTTCTGTGTTGAGAGCAGAAAATTCATGATTCCCTGAATACATAAGATAAGACTGGAGGGAGACATTTGCCCTTGACAACCCAGGTCCAATGACCTTGAACCTCGCAGTTCTATGGCCTCTGAAAGTTCAAAACCTCCTTTCCGAAAGACTTACGCTAATTCCCAAGGGTTTTGGCTTTCTCAGCCTATAGATCCTTCATTGCATCTGCCCCAGCTTGAAATTCAATTTCTCTTTTAAATTCAACAACAACGATTTGCTCTTGTAAGCATTTGCGTTTGGTTCTCATGGAAGACTCTAGTGGAGCATGCCCCAGGAGAGGCCTCTATACTCTGCACAATCTTGCACCATTTTGCTAGTTCTCACCCCCTTTTTCGTTCTGCCTCTCTCTAATAAGAAAAAGTTCCTGTCGCTGTTTACTGCCTTGAAGTTCTGCAATTACTGCTTAGAGATGTCCTTGGAGTATCACTGTCTACTCAGGAAGCAGATTAAAATATTTCTTCCAGATTTAGTGCTCTTTTTATAAGAATTCTGGGGAGTATGTTTTCCCCTATATTTTATAATCACCATGACAACATGTGGACAACACTTGAAAAATGATGTTTTCTCACACCCACTACTTCCTGGGTGCTGCAGCATGGGACCTGCAGCGTTCATTTCAGATTAGAAACCCCAGCATCTGTTGGGGCTTCTGATCTTTGCGGTACTTGAGTCTCCTGTGTGTTTACCTCAATCAGGTGCTAAGTCATACACTTAAAGTACTGGATTTCAAAAGCCAGGCCAATCAAAGCACGGCCTAGCAGAGGTGACTCAGGGGAAGCTAAGTAGGCAAGACCTTGGTATCTGGCTTTCCAAATATGAGCCCCTCTGGCTATAATGTGACAGTCACCTAGACCATAATATTCCAACCACATTATGGAATGGCTGTTCTTAAGGTAGGGTGAGGATGGTATTGCAGGTGTCAGCTCAGGCATTCCTGCCTAGAAGTTCTCAAACCTGTTTCCACATAATACATAAAGATGACGAGGAGAACCTAGGCAGCTGCCTAAACAAGGCAGAGCCTACCTACATGCCCAGTGGCTCAATGAAATTGAAAGGGATAATAAAAGTTTGCAAAACAGAGCAAAGCCTACCCTTAAATAGCCTATCTAAACCTTTTAAGTAACCGAGGACACTATGTCTCAAAGATTCAAAAACCCCTAAAGTGAGTCAGTTAAAAGTAGGGGATCCTGTGCTGATGAAGCCACCAACCACATGAGAAATGTGGGCATACTCATCATTTTTATCCTAACATGCACAGCAGAAGCGAGGGCGGGCAAATCCCTGCCCAGCTTCTATTCATGCCCCTCAGGGAGAAAGGTGAGACTGCAGGGGAGAGAGGGGCTGACGGTGTAAGTGCAGGCAAGTGAAGGAGGCAGACCTGGGCTGACAGAGAGCTCCGAGGGAGTTGAGGGAAGTAAGGGAGGAGGCTGTCCTTCACAATGGAAATGCAAGCCCTAGAAATCCAAAGAAAACACAAAGGAGGCCAGGAGGTGGCGGAAAGGCCAGCTTGAGGGCATCAGGGATGCTGTGCCCATAGGAAAGGATTCAGCTTTTATAACCTGCAGGTTTATCAAAAGATGAAATATTTCTTCTTCCTCAAATCTGAATGTTTTCCAGAAGACCCTGGACGTCTCATTACATATTCTATTCAACCCAGAAATAATGTTTGCTCATCATATCTTATTGTAATTCTCACTCCCTTGGAGCTCTAAGCTGGGGCTGCATTATGACTCCAGGGTCCCTAGGCACTTCTGCCTTTGTGGGCCTCTTCTCCATTAAAAATATATTTATATTCATGACTGCATTGGTACAAAGACAAATACATTCTTTGACCCTAAAAGGTCATATATTTTCTTCTGATTTTAAAAGAAATTTAAATATTTTCATGAGTCCCTAGAAGTACCATGAGCCCATGACACTGTGCTATGGTCCCTATTGAATGTCAGCCACCACACTACCATTCACACATGCTAGTCAGCAAGTATTTACTGAGCACCTGCCATGCGCCAGGCATTTCTATGGCAGTGAACAAAACATAGTCCCTGCCTTCATGGAGCTTAGCTTTAGATGGCTAAGACAGACAATAAACAGATAAACCAGTGGATACATGATATGTCAGATGATGCTAAGTAATACAAGAAAAGTAAATTAAGGAAAAGGAGATATAGAATGAAAGGATGGAACTGAACCTTTATATGGGATGATAAGTGAAGACCTCACGGACACGTTGATCAGCTGCCACCTGAGGAGAGACCTGCAGGAAGGGAGAGACTGAGTCACATGGACACCTGCAGATGAGCCTTTCAGGCCAAGAGAGAGTCAGTGCAAGCGCCCAGTGGCAGCAACATGTTGGTGTGTGAAGAGCAGCAAGGAGAACAGCGTGAGTGGAGGGGACGGCATGAACCACCAAGAAAGGTAGGCCAGAAGCTCAGAGAGGGAGCAAAGGCTCAAGTCCCTTCCTCTGATGAGAAGGGGGCTGCCGGGAAAGTGCTGGGAGCAGGGAGCCACGACCTGCCTTGCCTTGACATGGTACTCAGTCCATGTGTTTATCTAGTGACTTTCTCCTTGAGTTTCCATCCTGAAACAGGCATCATTAGTCACTTCCTTATGGACCTCCATCTCTAAAGAGATAAATTCTTGTCTTCCCTATTACAGCAGCTCAAACATCTGACACTTATGTCCTCCTGGAGACAAGCAGACCAGCAGGACTCCTGCTGGCTCTTTTTGGCTGCTTCCTATGAAAACCTGACTGGGGCCTATTTCTCCCATCTTCTCTGAAGAGAAACTGGTGGAAGCCTTCTATTCCAAAGGATATTTGTTTGATAGCACTCAGAAATTTTGAAAAAGAAGAGGGCACTGAAGAATATCCACTGTCTTTATTGAGGAAGACCTTGTGCTCTACCTTTCCTGCTAACCCCTCAGCAAAAATGATGAAATGAACATGGCCCTTGAGAAGGTTCAAGTTGGATCTCAAAATATCCTAGCATCTTTTTCTTTGCTGGACTTTTATTGGTGAGTGAGGCAGCATAAGCATCCCATAACATTAAACAGTCACAGAGGCCACTAAAAAAGTTAGCAAAGTCACATAATGGAACATCCAGTACCAGGAATGTTTGGGCCTTTGTATTTGCTGTATTTATGGTATTCCTGGAGTTTATTCAGCTTGGTGGTTAAAGAGAACAAGAATAGGAAAAACAGGTGTTTTTTGTTTTTTTTTTCCTCAGAGTAAATTTGTATTTGTTCAATTTTAATGCAATACTTTCAAAACTTCTGATGCCCACTGAAACAAAAGTCACAAACAAAACAAAAAACAAACAAAAAACCTCTGATGCACACTGGAAAAAAAAAAAAAAGAGGTAGATTGATTACAGATACGACCTTCATTACCCACTTATGCTTGATTCCATAATCTTTGAAATATGATTTTACAGTTCCTCACATCAAGAGGCAAAGTCTATTTCTCCATCCTTGTGACTTGTTTTGGCTAAGAGAATGTGATAGGAAGTGATACTTCTTAGACTTCCAAGTTACATCCTAGTAATACTTCCAAGACTAAGCCTCAAGAGGCTTTATTTATACTTCTGTCTTCTCTCTTGGAACCCTGCTGCTGGCATGAAAACGAGGCCCGGACAGCCTGCTGGATACTGAGAGACCATGTGGATAGAGGTGAGTCAGGCCAGTGGTTATAGCTGAGGCCCCAGAGGTTGGAAAAATATGAGAAATATAAGATTAGCAAAGCTACCTACATGACCTGCAGTTCTTTATAGATGCAAGAGGGAGCCCAGCCGAGACTACTCTAAGCTGCTAACCCACAGAATTGTAGGCTAAAAAACGATTGTTTAAAGCTTTTAAGTTTTAGGGTGTTTTGTTACACAGCAGTACCTAACTGATATGAAAACTGAATCATTACAACTCATGCATTGCTAGTGCATCCACAGTGATGTCACTATGAGGTTCTATTACAATTTAGACCTGTCGATATACACTTTGCAGTCTGGGCTACCATCACGCCATCACTAAGTATTACACATTATTACAAGTCATTTTTCAACTATCACAATGGAATAATTTAAACAGGATGATGATGTAAAAGATTTCTCAAGAACCATTTTGTACTTTGGAAGTTTCCAGTGCTTAAGGTCCCAAGAACATGATCTTCTACTCTATCGTGACTGTTCAGTAAAACCATTGTTGCTTACTGGCATGTGTAGATTGCCCTGATGGTTCCACAAGTTAAGGAGATACAGACCACAAGGGAGCCAGAATGAATTCTTCCTTACCTGCTACATCCCGCTGGCCTGCTGGTCGCAATACAGGAAAGCCACCAGCAAACAGATCTCCCAGGGTGGGAGGTGTGCTCGCACCTCGTGTGGTTGCAGAACCTCCTCCTTCTTTGTTGGTTCCTTTAGAACCTTTAGAGAGAAGACACAAATAGGCAAGGACTTGAGAGCAGAGCTGAGCAGCCAGGTCTCATTTCAGACCATGGTCTAACACTGGTCTACCACTGCCCTTGTCCGCCTTCCCATTCTCCCACCTCCAATGTCATCCTTTCACTCAGCATCTTCTCCAGGCACCCTCTGCCTTGATACCCTGTAGACTCACATGTCCTGCCCTCTCCAGTCCTACCAAAGAACTAACCATTTGTGCCCAACTCCCCTGAAAAGTGACCAAAACAAAGGGACCTGAACACTGCCATTTTGTAGATGCTAACAGAGCAACTGGCAGCACCTTTGAATTAGAAAACCCAAATGTGGTAGATGTAGAGCTGCTCTTATTTTCAACCTGGCTATGGAGGACTAGACAAAGAAAACCCACAGATTTAATTCAGTCAGTCATTTTAACTTCTTGTCCACAGAGCGCTGACCAGAGCAGCAAGCAAGAGGTAAAGCCTGCAATGATTGTGCCTTGGCAGTTTCCTTCCTGTCTCTCCAGCCCTCACGCCCCCAGCCCCTCATGCCTCCCTGAACCTTTTCATCTATGGAACGGAAAGATCATGGGCCCCTGAGGAAAGGTATCACTAACTCCAGCCTTCCAGACATGTGTGGTTACCAACTACAGAAAATGAGAAGATACTCAGCTTAGACAAGAATTCCTGGCAGAAAATATTTACAACCTGAAGCTAATATGCACCGAGAAATTAGGGCACAGTGCCCACTGGTGGAGGAAAGTGGCCAGATTATTCTAAGTGTTAATATTATACATTACTTACTCATGAGAATGATTAGGAAGTGAGTGTTTCGATGAAATTGATTTACCTGTTAATTAGCCTTAACCAATTCGATCATGGGTTTAACCAGAAACTAATTTTTAATGTACTCCATGTTGAAAATATTTCTTTAAAAATTTGTCTATCCTGTGTGTTGACATTTATAATTGCAGATAGGAGATATAATTATATTTTTAGGACTATCTTTAAGAATTACCATCATGCATATCATAGCAGAACATAGGAAGACATAACAACACCTTACATTACAGGGGGAGTATCCCTTATCCAAAATGCTTGGGACCAAGTATTTCAGATTTTTTTGTTGAAATATTTACATATTCATAATGCGATATCTTGGGGAATGGGACCCAAGTCTAAACATGAAATTTATTTGTTTCATATATACCTTTACACATAGCCTGAAGGTAATTTCATGCAATATTTTAAAATAATTTTGTGCATAAAACAAAGCTTGCATTCATGGAGCCATCAGATAGCAAAGGTGTCACCATCTCATCCTCCCAAGTTGTCAATCTGTGGTTTGTCCATCACCATCATTCCTGACACTGACTTTCTATGCTACCAATAAGCAATCATTTTCCTACACTTCTTCACACATAAGAACTTAGCAGTTAAAAATATGGCATACCATTAACATAGCAAAAAAATAGTGTGTTCAAGGTAACTAAGCAACACAGTAGTATCACCAGAAAACCCAGATCAGCTGTTAGACAACAGCAGCAACAAACAAAGGCAGGCTTTCAGTCTCCTGCAATGCTGTGTTTTGATTAAAGGTTACTGTACACTGGATCTCATTGTTTTAGGTGAGAAGAAACATCAGAAACCACTGAGAGACCAGGAAGTAGGTCCTCTAGATTTGAGGAAGCATTCTGCTAGCTGTCTTTTAAAAATGTTTCCTCCAGAGTCATCTGCCTCATTAAAAATGGTTTTTGTCTCAGAAGCCTCTCTCTGATTTTGTAAACTGACATGATTTCTTGTTCTGTTATGAATGTATGCCGCTCTTGTCCTTCAATAAACTCATCATACATTTCCACCATGTCACCTGGAGGCACGTTTTCTTCAGGGTTAACAACGTCATCTTCATCATCCATGTGAGGCATCATGTCGATATTCAAAAAGTTTCAGATTTGGGATTTTTGGATTAGGGATGCTCGACCTGTACTAAAAAGTTCTGCATATATTATTTCAACTTCCAACAATCTTGACTAAGACAAAATAGGAGCCAGGTATTGTCTCCCCATTTCACAGATGACCAAACAGCCTCAAAGAGGCTTCCCGATTTGTCTGGTTGCAGAACCAGAACTCAATGTGGGTCATCTGACCTGAGCACAGGACTCAATTTACTCTGTCACATTCTGGCAGACAGCGAGCTTCAGTCATATCCTCTGAAACGGAATTCTTAATACATCTTTCTCCTTGTGAAAAGTGAAGCAAAAATTTGGCATTTTAAAAAAAATGTTGAGCCCTTCACTTTCTATCACTGAGTTTGAGGACCATGTTGACACAGGGTGAGTGATCTTTAAATGTTACCCTACAAAGAATACACAAAACGTGGTGTGTCCATACAATTAAATATTCAATGATAAAAGGAGTGAAGTACACTGATACATGCTCCAACATCTATGAAGCTTGAAAACATTATGCTAATGAAGGAAGCCAGCCACGAAAGGCCATGTATTGTATGATTCCATTTCTTTGAAATATCAGAATAGGCAAATCCAGAGAGACAGAAAGTAGATTAGGTTGGCAAGGGCTGGGGGCTAATGGGGAATGACTTACTAATGGATATGAGATATCCTTTAGCGGTGATGTAAATATTCTGGAACTAGATAGAGGTGATTGTTGCAACAACATTGTGAATATAATAATTGGCACCAATTGAACACTTTAAAATGGTTAAAATGATGAATTTTATGTTATGTGTATTTTATCATAATTTTTAAAAAGTTGTCCCATTGCGGAGTTCTTTTTAGCTTTTGAAAAGGATGGAAGATATGCTCTAAACCATTTGCAGATTTGGAGGGAAAGCTCTCGTTCTCTCGCCCACTTGGCCTGTCCAATGAGCAGGTCTGAGATGGCTCTGTATGTGTCCTGGGAAGCAGCTGTGGCCCCAGCCAGGGGTGTCTGGCTGTGTCTCACATGCCTGTCCTGTCCTTGGCTCACAGGAGGCCTGGCTGGGCTGCTCACTTACTCTCGATCTGCGGGGCGCTGCGGTCGTTGATCTGCGTGACTTTGCGCAGACGAGTTCCTTGCTGGATATCAGCCAACAGCGCACTCCGGCCTTTCAGATCTGCCCTTCGCAAGCTGGAGGTGTCTGTGCTTACCTGTAAGGGAGTAAGAAGGATTTGACTATAATAGCATTTTCAGATAAACAAAATGTCCCGTCTGCTGTCAGTTTCTCCTCTTGCAGTTCTCTGTCTTCCCCGTCCCATTCCCAAGGCTGATCTCGGGTTACCTACGGGAGAGACACTTTTGGGTCCTGCTCACACCTCTTTAACTGGTGACCTAGAAGGGACTCTTTATTTTAGATGACCCAGTCCCAAGTGCCTATCTTGTGCACAAGCTCCTGGAGGTCTTAGAGAGCCCTAAATCATAGCCCTTCCTTCCTCTCTCTTACACTCCCCACCCCAGGGCTTCTGTCCGTGAGTACCTGGCTCCTGCTCTCAGGTTTTGAATGATCATCTTGCTTGGTGCCCCAGGTCCCCTCCTGGACCAAATCCTTGGCTGATTCCCCACTTGACGATGGGAGTTGCTCCTGTGCCCCGTCATCCCCTGGATGTTCTCCAGAGCAGGACTGAAGTCTTGCTCAGTCCTTAGTAACTCACATCTTCCTTGCTATTGGGTCCTAGATGGCTCATGCTGGGCCCATGGTGCCTCTTAAGGGAAGCAGATTCATGTTCTAGGAGCTGACTTTGAATGGGGGATGGTGGCTTTCATGTGATCATGGAGCAGATGGCAGAACTGGGGAGCTCAGGGGAAACTGGGACCCATAGAGGTCAGAAAGTTGTGGAGAAAGGGAATGCAGAAGATGACAGTGAATGTCTGGTGACTACCTTCTGTGCCTGGGTGTGTTACATTAGTCCTCACAAAACCTTGTGAGTTTGCCTCATCTTACAGATGAGGAAACCGAGACTAAGAAATCATCTGTTTGAGGGTGCAGGGCTGGGGTTCAAACCCAGATGAGCTGAATCCCAAAGGCCATGTGCTTTTCACTTTGCAACACTGTGACTACCAAGGACACATGCTCTTTTATTAGGATAAGTGTCTAATGGACTGCTAAATGCTTCATAAATATATTTGCAAGAAAAACTTTTGTCCTAATTCTGCAAGTAGGCCTGAGATACAACTGCTTCACTTCAGCTGTAGCTTTAGCTGACATGGTGGAGGTTTCCATGGGTTATTAGAGCCAGGGAACACCAGAAAGAACATTGGGGAGGTTGGTGGCAAATAAAGGTGGGAAGGGGTTGCCCTGGAAGCCACAGCCAGGAGGATTCTCCACAGTTAGAAGGTTCATACCAACCATGTGACCTTAAAAATGGCTGATCATTTCTCAAAGCAAGAAATACTTGTTAGTCTTACTGTATGGGGATACCATGTATCTTTGGGTTTCAGCTTAAATATCACCACTTCAGAGGCCTTTTCTGACCCAAAATCTAAATAAGGCCATTCACTGTTTTCTCTGAGTGTACCATATTCCTTTTTCCTCTGTCACATTTATCATAGGGTATAAGTTTGTATTATCATTGTAGAAAATTTCAATTTGTGATTATGAGTTGAATGTTCATCCATCCCAAGGACTCCACATCAGGAAAAAAGATTGTCTGTTTTGTTCACAAAAATATCCCCAAAGAGTAGAATTGGATCTGGCTCAATAACTACTGTATGAATGAATGAATAAGTGACTTGAGTGAGCGAATGAATGCACTAGACCCAGGGTATCAGAGCTGTCTTTGCTCTTAAAGGCATATGCACGCACCAGGCACAGAGGCATAACTATAGCGAGTTAAGCCACTGTGCAACGCGCAGCACAGGACTGGGCAGCCATGCTGGTTCCCCAGAGAGGAAGGCCACCAAGAGTCCAGAAATGACCATGTTCTTCAGGCTGAGCAGGCTTCAAGGAAGACATGAGACCTTGGAGGGTCCCTGGAGTATAAATAGTATTTATAAATCCTTGCTATTGCCATTTTCTGTTTAAAAAAGGACAAACCAGGTTGGCTGACTAGAAACTCATGGGTTCTCTTGTGTCACAGACTAGAAGCAGAGGCAGTTGTGGTTTTGGCTAAAATGTGCTGAGTCCACATTTTCACTGGTGAACTCCACTGCGTGGGTTACGAACCTTATGCAGGCTTTGAAGGGCATAGGCTTCAAAGTCTGATTCTTGTCCCCTGGAAACAAGCTTTTGAACCCTTAAGAGGGACTTATGAACGATGGTCAACAAGAAAGTGGTGAGCAAGGAGCCTCAATCCTGATTCATTGGAGATTTTATTTATTTATTTATTTTAGAAAGGCAGGGCATTTCCCATACAATATGCTTTTTAAAACCCCATATAAACCATTAATATCATGAGTTCATTTTAAGCTGCAAAATTTTAACATTTTTAAAGTTTCCTCTCATTTTATTTATAAATAATGAATGACAAATTAAGGGACCAAAGGAATATCACGACTGTAGCTAAGAGGGTATGAAAATTTTTGTGTGAATTTGACATTACAACTTCAGGTATGCATTATGGTCAGGGATTTTGGGGAAAAAAGCATGCTTTGTAATTTTCCTTCTAGGTATAAGAAGATAACCCACCGAATTATAATAATATTCATGGCCCAACTCAGAGCAGCCTTGGGGAAGGCGAGGGTGAGATTGGTGGGTTCTTTGTTTTAAAAAAAGCAACTGGAATGATGAGAAAAATCCATCCCTCACTAGCCCTTGGGGATTGGAGGGGAGGGTCATGTCATCCAATTTAGACTGTTTATTACCAAAATGTATCCCCCACCCCTTGACCTTGCCTAGGCCAGGCATTTCAGGTGAGGGCTATGAAGAATGTTGCATGTCCTTAAGATGAAGATTTTAACTTTGGACATGTCTCAATAAGTTATTGACAATTCTACAGGGCAGATTTGTTAGTAAACATCTTCCAAGTCAGCAGGAGGACATGGCAAGTCACAGTGTGTTTATTTACACGGTGCAGTTCAACCCTGTGGGCTAAATTTAACATTCCCTCTGACTTCTCGGCTGTCTTCTGCTCCAGCGTCAGCCCTGATGAATGCCCTGATGATCTCCTGCTAGAGGGCTCTCTCACCTGATCTTTTTTTGTTTGTTTGAGACCGAGTCTCTCTCAGTTGCCCAGGCTGGAGTACAGTGGCGCTATCTCGCCTCACTGCAAGCTCCGCCTCCTGAGTTCACTCCATTCTCCTGCCTCAGCCACCGTGGTGCCCGCCACCACGCCCGGCTAACTTTTTGTATTTTTTTAGTAAAGACAGAGTTTCATCGAGCCAGGATGGTCTCGATCTCCTGACCTTGTGATCCACCCGCCTCAGCCTCCCAAAGTGCTGGGATTACAGGCGTGAGCCATCGCACCCGGCCTCACCTGATCTTAATATGGTGTTCACCAGTCCTTTCCTCTCCTGTGCGGCAGGAAGGAATTAACAATTCTGTGGCAAAAGTGACCATATACAATATATTTAGACTTAATTGGTTTTGCACAAAAGGACATATCCATTTGCATATTGAAGACCACATTACACAAAGCCAGTCATTTCTACTTCATCTGCAATATTTATTGACAATTCAACCATAATTTGCTGTCTTAAGAAACCTCCTGCCACCCCAAGAATTCTTGTTACTGTGGTTACAGGATGCAGAAACAGGAAAGAAAGGATTTTCAAATATTCACTGAACATTTCATGTTGCGCAAATCCTGATCATAGGCAACTTCACTAAAAACACAGTCAAGGGAGAGAAAGCCATTCCTGGACACTTTTCCCATGGCAAAACTATGCACCAAAAACTAAAACACACACAGACAAAACAAAACAAAAAAGAAACCAACAAAACATTACTTCCAAGTTCACTCTTATTTTGTCTCATTAACATGGTGCTTAAGTAGTGACAATTTGTTGGGTTTCACACAAAGCTTTTGTTGACTCAATTCTACAGCAAGCTTCAAAAGAGATAGCCCAGAATCCCCAAAAGATGAACCATCATAGAATAGACGTGCACCTTAGCTCATCCCCTTGGTTATAAAGGATGAAAGCTTGAAGTGTGCCTGTGAGATTAGAAATACAAAAATTGAACAACAGTCCTAACAAAGCCAAGGATAGAATAAAAAAATAGTGAGGGGCCTTTTCTCTCACCTTGATACATTATAAAAGCTTTCCCATGTCCATTTGTCATTCCAACAAATGAGTCAACCGCCTTATGGCATAGTTTGGGGAAGGGAGATGACAGTCCAGCCCAGATCAAAACTTTGACATACACATTTCCTGCTATTTGTCACCCTGTCACCATATGCCATCTTCACCTTTCCAATACTCGTAACTGTGAAAAATGCTAATAAAAATCTTAGCTGGTCGATTCTAATCTAGCAGGTCATTTCTCTCAACAAGGATCCAAACCCCATCATTTTAATACAATTTCAGCCTTGCAGTCTTCTAAAGGTAGCTTCTCCAATGTGGCCATTAAACCTAAAATTAGTGTTCAGGTTTCCAGGCATACAAGCCTGCTCATCACCCCAGCCCTCAGCCTACCCCGTCTCCTGAAACTTGGGGGCAGACAGACATCAGTAGCCAGGGTATTTGCAGTTAGTTACAAAGTCTGAATCCCAAGGACAGCCAGAATAGCAATGTCTCCCTTCTACTGTTGCCATCTTTATGTAGGAGAACACAGAGAACCTGGAATCCAAAAGAGAGACATGAAATATTTGCTTAAAAAACTAACTTTCTCCTGTCAGGTCTGACACAATGTTCCCTGAACCCCATATGTGCACAAGTCAAGTTGTTCTAGAATGAGGTACATTGAGATCTAACAGTTCCAAGTCTCATTTTTAGAAACCCAAATATCCAATTCCAATCCATGCTCAAAAAGAATGTACCTGCTAACCTTCTTTTCTAAAGCCTGATTTTTTTTTTTTTTTTGAGATGGAGTGTCACTCTGTTGCCCAGGTTGGAGTGCAGTGGCATGATCTTGGCTCACTGCAACCTCCCCCTCCCAGGTTCAAGCAATTCTTCTGCCTCAGCCTCCAGAGTAGCTGGGATTACAGCAGGTGCATGACACCACACCCAGCTAATTTTTGTATTGTTAGTAGAGATGGGGTTTTGCCATGTTGGCCAAGGTCTGATATCTTAAACAATACTGTGTACAGAC